ACACAGAGGTATACAGAAGCCAATCTTAGCTTACCTCAAATTAAAATGGCTAAAATTACATCCGAACAGATATGAGCTTGGGATATGTGAATCCAATGTTTCAGATGCCAATGTTAAACTGAATTAATAAAACTGCCTTTGTTGTGGACTCTTTGTTGCAGTGTGTTTATTGCACGGACAGTGCTTTCCTGATAGTGCCGCTTTTGTCTGTAAATTGTGCATTTATTAAACAGATGTCTGGAAGAACATTCAGCACATTATGCAGTCGATAAGGCCTTTTTACCACAGCGTTAAGCAGACCATGTGCTTTCAACACAAAACCACAATCACTCATCAGTGATGACACAAAACCACCAACTCATAAATGACAAATACATACAGCACTGTGCAAAAGTCTCATCCAGTCAAAGTAAATAATGTTTGATCTTCGTGCTGGTGTAAAACGTATTTTATCTGTCATCTTCGTCATTTCAAAACCTGTCCTATGTCATAAACGGGTGAAATGAAGGACATGGGAGCAAGCATTCGTTTCCAAACAAAAAGTGGGTTTTATTAAACAGCTAGAAATAATCAAGATCGCAGGGGGAATGGAGGGAGGAAGGCACCAGGCAACAGAAGGCTACGACAGATCTGGGGAACACGGGCCTGAAACGCTAACGAGGGTGCAGACAAGAGGCAGTTGGGAGTGGTTCACACGAGGGCAGGAATGAGAGGTGAGACAAATGAGCACCAGGCGCGGCAGGTTAGAGCCACACGAGGGAGGAGGCAGGAGGAGCAGGCGGACATGGTGGATGAGGGAGGAGGCAGGAGGGGCAGGCGGACATGGTGGACGAGGGAGGAGGCAGGAGGAGCAGGCGGACATGGTGGGCAGGACGTGACATCTTAAAGTCAGCCCTAGCATACCATGCCTCACTAATTACTACGTACTCATTTTATTCACTAATTAAGCTAATTTATTAATTGAGCTAGTGATAAAATTTTAGGAACGCATGGAATGGCTGGGTTGCCCGTGAGGAAAGGTTTGGGAAGTGAAATGGACTTTTGCATAGTTCTGTACATTAGGTCTGTCACTATCGATTATATCAATAATCAAGTAATCTACCGATTAATCTGATAATTCATTGAGTAATCATTCATTTATAATATAATATAATATAATATAATATACCATACCATTCCGTGTGGAGTGTGCCTGTTCTCCACAGTGTCATTGTGGGATTTCCACCGGGCGCTCCGATTTCCCCCCACAGTCCAAAAACATGCTGAGGTTAACTGGAGTTTCATTACTGCCCATAGGTGTGCCTCTGTGAGTGAATGGTGTGTGAGTGTGTTCTGCAATGGGTTGGCGCCCCATCCTGGGTTGTTCCCTGCCTTGCGCCTGGAGAGGTGGTTACAGGAAATGAATGGACGGATAATATAATATAATATAATATAATATAAACATTGCAATTGGCATAAGGCAGAAACCAGCCAGCTACTGCAAGGCACACATTCAGTCACGCATGTGGTCATATGCACTACATTTATGTAATTTAAGTTGCACATTTTTGGACAGTGGATCGAAACTGGAGGATCTGCTGAAAAGCCACGCACACACACACACACACACACACACACACACAGGCTGAAGATACAAACTGCACAGACACAAAGTGCCACCAAAAAGCCACACATACACACACACACACACACGCAAACACAGGCTGAACATACAAACTCCACACATGGACATTATGTCCCCATAAGGATAGGTAAACCCGCTCGCACACACAGGCTGAACATACAATCTCCACACATGGACATTATGTCCCCATAAGGATAGGTAAACCTGCTCGCACACACAGGCTGAACATACAAACTCCACACACACAAAGCGCCACCAAAAAGCCACACACACACACACACACAAGCACACACAGACTGAACATGCAAATTCCACACACACAAAGCGCTGTCTTTCATTTTTCTGAGTAATCAAGAAGGACAATTTTAATCAATGCTTTTAAATAGTTGAGTAATCGAGTTTAATCAAGTCATCGTGACAGCTCTACAGACAAATAGGACTGACCTATTTCATTCTCACTGAATGTGACAGCAGTATCGTCAAAACCATGTGACTCTGTCTAAACAGCTGGATGTGTTTGCATTACTATCTGTTGCAATTACATTCTGCATTTTCTCCTATGTGTATCTAAATGTCTACGCGTCCAGAGCCTATGGTTGCAAGGCAGGGAACAACCCAGGATGGGGCACCAACCCATTGCAGGACACACTCATACACAATTCACTCACAGAGGCACACCTACAGACAATCAAGTAAGTCCAATTAACCTCAGCATGTTTGGGGACTGTTGGGAAAACCTGGAGTACCCAGAGGAAACCCCATGACGATACGGTGAGGGGAAAACATGCAAACTCTGCAAACATGGAGCCATGGCAGAGACTTGGACCTTGGTCCCAGAGGTGTGAGGCAACAGTGTTAACCACTGGGGAGGGGGGGTAACTGAATGTGTTTTTGTGAATGCACATGCAATATAGCTGGTAGTTTAAATGTTTGTGTTATTATATTAAGCAGGACATGAAATACCACCATGCAAGACTGCCCATACTCTGGGAGAAAGGGGATCACTTTCAGGAACCACAACACTGGTGACGAAGTCAGCACCCCCTCACCCGTCAGCAAACTTCATCCTCCACACCCCCCTCACCCGTCAGCAAACTTCATCCTCCGCACCCCCCTCACCCGTCAGCAAACTTCATCCTCCACACCCCCCTCACCCGTCAGCAAACTTCATCCTCCGCACCCCCCTCACCCGTCAGCAAACTTCATCCTCCGCACC